ACCTGCTGCTGCTGCGTATGCCCTGGCATCCGAGCGAGATGTCAAGGAGGGGAGTCTTAGAGGACGTCTCACCCATAGAGAGATAGCTGGCCAGCGTCTCTCTATAGGGGCATCTTCTCATAACCGCTTTCGCGCATCGCCTCAATGTTGGCATAACTCGTATGCTGGAATCGATGGTTGCGTGAGGAAAAAACGGCCTCTTCCATTCCTTCTCAATCTTTATATGAAAAACAGGAAGAAAGGAAGGCTCACCTGAGCTGGAGGGTTATGGCCTGAAAAATATGTTTCATCGAGATATTTCGCGACGTCACTTTCTTCACAGCAAGTCAAAATTTAATTTAATTAAAAAAAAATTTTTTTTTAGCCTCGCCGTGGCGCGATCCATAATTCCCAAAAGCTCATCATACGCAGGGCAGGAGGATTGGGAAGGCTCAGCCTCAGCTTCTTTGCCCTCCTCAGACATTTCCTGCTTTTGCTGGGCTGATCCCAGCAGAGCACTGGCCCCTGAATCAGAAAATGAAATAACATCATCCTCCAGCGGCTCCCTCTCGTGCACAGCCGACGATCGCGAAAGGGAAAACCCCTCTTCAAACTCATTGGCCAGATCCACCTGCGATCCCCACGAGCTCATTCCCTTCCGTGCCTCAGCAGCGGCGGGTCCTGAATCGCGGGAAGCAGATGGCTGCCCCTCTTTCCTCGAAAAGAGAGACAAACGAGAGCGGAGTTTTTCCCCTTGGAAAAAACGCTCGCAGTGCATGCCGATTGCCTCCTCGGAGGCATCGCATGCGTGCTCTTCGCCCAAACAAATAATGCATAGACCGTGTGTGTCATCAGATGTTAAACAATGTCAACACGGATGCACACATTCTTAAACGCTTTGCTAGTGCTCGCCATAATGAGATGAAAAAGAGATCGCTCTTACCACAGAAATGCACGCTTCAAACAAAACAGTCAATGAAGACGAAGAAGAGAATGATGTGTGCTCCCGGCGCCTATTTTATACTATAGTCGCACTGGTAGTGACGTCATGGCTGTCACCGGCCAACAAGTTGGTGTTTTTCAATGTATGCTTCAGACACGGGTCATGACGAGGCGTTCCCCATAGCGACCCCTAGAGGACCCAAGAAAGGGAAAGTTCAAAGTTCCCATGAAAGGGAACAACATGGACACTCGTTACCACAAAGATGTGTTGGATTTGTATTATTAGAGCTTTCCGACTTGAGTTCACCTGCATTTTCTCAGTCGGGAAATTGTTTTTCACGTGCGGTGCCGCGATGATGTTTACGTCCGTTTCGGAGAACCAGAGGACAAATATTTCAATCGATCGCTCCGGTATGGCACCAAAATGAGGCACTGAAATCTGCATTCAGATTCGGTTTTAGTACATACCGGTTACATAGGTACCGGTGCCCAACCCTATTTACCTGTCCAGCATCCGTCTACTGCCTTTGAGGTTTCTTCCTTCAACTCTGCACAACTTTGACACCTGAATAACACATGCCAGTGTCAGGCGGGTAATATTATATGCGTCCGTGTACAAGTGTTTACCAACCTTAAACATTGATGCCCATTGATCTGCAAGTTTTCCATCACTAACCCTTTAAAACTCTATTCCAACAGTTTAAAGGGGTCATATGATGCTATTTTAAAGATAATTATTTAGTGTAACAGAATATGTTGACATGCTTTAATGTTCAAAAAACACATTATTTTTCAAATACTGTACATTATTGTAGGTCCTCTATGCCGTTACACGTGGGAAATGTAACGGCCCTTACCATAATCGCGAGCGTCAGCTTTCAAAGTAAATATCAAAGACCCCGAAAGGGCAACAGAGTTGCATGACAGACACAGTGATGATGCAGTACATAAGCCGTGGTTAAGACAGCTGACGTGCTATGATTTCTAACAGGCTGTTCACTCTGCTGTGATGTGACCCTGTTCCTCTCTCACACACACACTCACTCTCACACACACACACACACGTTACTCTGCGCAAAACTATGCATTTGAACAGTCAAAAGCAAATAATTAAACTAATAACAAATCATACTTACAGTCGCTGATTCAGAAGCGTCTTGGCAAAGTCGTAATTTACCCTTTTTTTTTTTTTAGAATTAGCCTTTGTGCACAGCCAGTCTTGTACTCTTTTAGGTAAAAAAAAAAACTGTTGTTCATAAGATTCGAACATCTGGGTTGTGCTGTTCTGTTGTAAATAAATCTTAACCTATGATTCCTAATTGCATCTACTTCCGGAAGGCCAAATAAAGTGCTTCCTGACATGGCTGCATCAACACTACTGCTGTTCCTGAAACCATGCCTTCTTTCTTTGCGTGAACATTTGGGCGACATTATGCTAATATTTCCACATAGTGACGTAGACATGTGGGGGCGTGTTAGAACGAGCCATTTTAGGTAGGTGTGGCTGACTCTGAACTTTTATAAAGAATATCTCTTTGGATTTGAGACTTCAGTCTTTTCAATTTTTCCTTTCTCTTTGGAGTGTTACAAGCTCTTTGTGCATAAAGAAGATCTGTAAAGTTGCAATCGCATCATATGACCTTTTTAAGTTTTTCCCTATTAGTGCCCCCCACAATCGGTCTCTGCCTCCAAAATTGTCGGGCACAACTGACTTCATAACAGCACAGTGATAGCTGCTGTAACTAAAAAGATGTGCAATGCTGCATTGCTATTTGCACTATTTTAATACTGCTGTAAACTTTTTATAATTAATAATTTTATATTGCCATTTTAAATAATTTGTATTCTTAAGCTTTACTACCAATTTGGAAGTTTCAAAATAAATCTTATTGTACTTGTACAATGACAAAGATATTCTATTCAATTAGCTCATGCTCTCTCTGTATCTAACAAGCCATTGTTCAGTCATAAATTCAATATAATAATTATAATGAATGTTGGACTTTGTCAAGGATGAGAACTTTAGTGAGGAAATGTTGTTTTGGAGAGTTTTTTGTTGTTGTTGTTTGTTTTTTACCATTGCTACCCAGATCTTTTCCAGGTGTTGAAACTCCTCCTCAGTTTCTCCAATTCTTCTGAGAGTGTTCACTGTATAAATTAATATGGATCCTTCACTAAAATGTCACTGTTCCTAAACATGATAACAAATAATATAGATAAATAATGAACACATCAAAACGAAAACACAGATACTTACAAGACCAAGTAGGAATGTCCTTCATCGTTTGTTGTTTGCCTGCTGCTCTCCGACAAGTAAACTTAGTGCTCTCTCGTGTAAAAACAAAATTCAAAACACAACACTGATCTCTACTAACTTTCACGTCTCGCGTTGTCAATAGTCATGTCTCAGTAGGGCTACAATTGCTATCTAGCGGTTGGGAATTGTAATTGCTTTTTTATTAATAAAATGAAAGACAGTCGAATATCAATAATATCATATAATGTGTATGAATGTAACATTTAACAGCTTGTGGGATGCATGACATCATATTATCAAATGCAAGTAAACTTTTGAAACATTTAAATTAGCATTATTTTTGGCATGATAAATAATGCTATATTTAATAATGCTGTAAAATAATTAGATAAAATATAAAATAATGCTAATTTAAATGATTCAAAAGTTTACTTGCATTTGATAAGAAGCTGCGTGGGCGAAAATTATATGTAAACAATTTTAAGGCTATTTTGGCTATGCTCATCGCTGGTCTGGTTACTGGTATAGGGCTATAGCCAAGCCGTTAAAATTAGACCACAGATTGCCTCGATTTCGCCAGGTGGGTGAAAAGCAGACAACACGTAGTCCGTCCAATTTAGAGCTAAATCGTGGCTACATATAGACCATGTCATGAAATGACAC